GTTTTGGGCGGAAAGGTCACGTACCAAACCTTTGGTTACTTGCAGGAAAACACAATCTYAAAACCTTTTCCTTTTGCTAACCTGCAARTATAATATATACTAGAGTACAAATYAGTAGCGTGCAACGTTTAACGCTGTAGTGTTAATTATAAAATAGAAGGCAAAATAAAAACAATTGAAAGAAGCATTTAGCACCAACTGATGTGTTTATATTTTGTGGCAATATATAATATAGATGTTGAGGATCTAAATTTTCTTCTTATGTAGTTTGAATTTGCATCGTTTTCTCTGTTAATTATTTATTATTATTTTCACTTTCTGCAGTCTAATTGAAAAAGTACAAATAGTGTTGTGCCAAGAAATGAAAGTGTTTTTGTAAAGGAGCGCAATAAAAGAGTGTGTACATATTATTGATATATGCAGTTCAAWTAAAATTTGAATGAAGATATGCTGGTCTGTATGCAATTTCGCTCTCTTTGCCGAGAACTTTGTTGACAAGTTTTAATGGCGCCTGCAGTTAGAGCCACGGAGAACCGTAAAACTTTCAAATGCTGAATCAGGCTGGCATGATGATGACAGAAAAACTTTACAAAATTATCATGTTTAATTACGCTATTCTCAGTTACTATTGTAATTATCATCGAACACCATGTATCATGCAATTTCAGTTTGCTTGTCAATGATATGCAGGCGAAAAAGATTCAATTCTAATCGGAAGCGAAGGAAATTCAGAGATGGGAGGTCATAGTGACATGCGATCTCTTTTCACTCCTCAAACTGAAGTATTCGAGCATTTTCCAATGTAAACTAAAATATCCCAGCATGGTTACCAAAAGACCACGCAAGCAAACGAAAGTTTGCGTTCCGATKGCACTCGCAGATAAAAGCTATACCAAAACAATGGGAATCGACCGCTTGCGTGATAAGAMAGATTATCCCAGTATTACATACACACATGTTTATTAAGCAACACACTTTAAACCGTTATACAAATACAATATAGTATCAAATACAATATAGTATCACTAATCCTATGAAGTCAAGCTGAGAATAGTGRAGACGCACCAGGAGGCCTGATAGGATGTGGTCTATCATAGCGGTACAGAGAACACAATGGAAGAAAGAARCGCAATCTACAAAAGTGGCATGCTTGCATTGAACTTGTGTTTACAAAAACATTTTCACGGCATGCATTTCGTTTTGCATCTTGYTTGGAACTTAATTTTGGTACTTTAATTCAAGATGACTGGCGTGCAATGATCAAGACGATGATCGGTTATTCCAAATGGCGGCCTGATATCAGGATGACGTGCAGTTAGTGCCCGAGCTTGCGTTTATACGCTTGCATTGRGGCTTTCGTCCGCGTCAAGAGTGGAAACTAGAAGTGACGAATGTTTTTGATACGATTGAACGAATTAAATGGAAACAAATACAAAATATCAAAAATTATATTTAACTTTAATCTCGAATGACAAAGATTAACGTTCAAAGCATTATTTATGTACTCAATCCTTGAGATTATGTGACTGTTCCCGAGGCGCATTACTGTTGCGTGTGTTGCGTTTCCGTATTATTGCATATGTTATTTACGCTATCATACGGTACGTATTATGGGGCAATCATAGGGTCATCATTCAGTTACTTAATGGTACGTTTACGTTATGAYCAGATACGTTTACGTTCTGACCTGCTGACAGTTTGTAAAATGGATGAAATCAATAATGATATAATTATTGTTGTCACTTTAGATGCTGCACGTTTACGTTATGATCAGATACGTATACATTTTATAGCAGTGTTTTTCTCTTTTTTTTCATTTTTTTTTCACAAAAATATTTATTTATATGTCTTATGAAAAATCCTTTAGTTTTAATTACCGCAGTGTATCATCGTTATCCACGTTGCGAACACGTGGCGAGTCAGCTATTCACATAGCATTCCCAGCGCACACCCACGTGGCCCTCACGGTAGCTTAGCAACGTCTACCACCGAATGAGCATCTACAGCGTCTGGTGAAGCAAGCAATGTTGTAACCACGTGACCTCAACCACGTGCGACTAAAACTGATCGCCAATTAGATTGTCAAGACAGCGATTTTTGTGTTTACATAACTCTTATGTAACGAGAATTTTTCTCGCCTTTCTTTTGACGAAAGTGTTAAAAACGTGCCTCAGAAAGAGCTTTGAATTGTTCTTTGTTTCATAATCCTTTGAAAATATACGTTTTATTTTCAGTTCAGGTCGCRTCTAAACGTTCTGAGACYAAATGTTACATTTATGGCACAGCATAAAAACGATAAAACATGTGAAAAACATCGAGTTTTTGAAACAAAAGTCATCACTCCAAACGACAAGATAATGAGATTATCTTTACAGTGTTTACTTTTTGATATAATAATAAAAATAAAATGTAAACTCTGGGGTGAACAACAGGTTGTTAAAATCAACATGAATCGAATCAATAAGCTATGTCGTCGCGCAAGCACGCGCGTGTCAGAAACGAGGATTTGAAGCTAACGCGCGCGTCTCGCGTCCGCAGAGAAATGAATAAATTGTCGCCTTTTCTAGGAGAATGRACAACTAAGAATAGTGAATATCATTCAAAAACGATGAAAGCTAGAGTAGTATAATAGTTCAGAATCTATAATAGTAAAAGATTTGAAATAATAACGACAATTTATCATTCACGGGTGCAGTGCCTTCGTAAGTCTACAATGAAAGGATCGAACAGATGTTTTCAATAAGTAATTGTTATTCAATTTTCCATAACGTGTTTTTATTGTAAAACCAAAGAAAGAACAAATTAACAASTCATTATGTCCCAAAAGCATCCGTTTATTCTTACAAATTAAATTTAGCTTGTCTGGTTGGCAAGGTAACATACAATTTATGGGCTGCAGACTTCTGTGTAGAGACGCAGTCAATTGTTTGTTTTCCAAATTGTTATAAAATTTTAGTGTTCATTTTATTATCAGTGCTAACATAACCGTTGACTAAGCGACCATCAACCGACCATCCATGACCTCGGRAAAAAGACCACTTGGTGAATACATTAGGTGGTCGRTTTRGMTGATAAATACACAACACTACGATAAAGGAATTAAAAAGCCAAAACGACGAAAAAWYMCCAATATTTGTTGTTTTCAAGTATTTTTGTACTCGAGTTCCAAGACAGTTGTCACAATGCCGCTCAAAGCTCCAAGRTGCTGTTTGATGTCCTCCATTCTTGGAATATACTCGCTCTCGTTTGAACAAATCGCATTGACAGCTTTTCTAATTTCTTCCACACACTTTACTATAGCTTTATRACCGGGTACTTCGGCATCAACGAGGTCTTCTAGCGTGCGGTTAAACGCTCCGTGTTCGCTGTTGAGCTGAATCTTGAGTTTACCACAAAGTTCTCGCACCGGGCGAATAGACGGGATTCCGTGTCCATACCGGTCGATTTTTGCAAAAGCAGAATTAAGTTTCTCTACTGCGCTTGCTACAAACTCTAAGTCTTCTTTCTGTGTAGCAGCATCGTTAATAGAGTCATCAGAGCTCTCAGACACACTGCGTCTTCTAGTATTGTTGTACAARCTGGAAAATCTCCCTCCGTTCCGTCCATTTGCACTTTCCTGGATCTCCATTGCTATCTTGTTGAGATTCTCCATACTTTTCCATGTTCGTCGGAGGTTTGAAGCCGAAGAACGACTCATTTTTRTCTGTGAAATTGTAAGTTTTCCCYTTCTTATAGGTTCGTTGCGCGAGCTTTTCGTATGGGCGTCGACCTTTAGGAAAAGTGATCTCATTCTTCATGGTTTGGTGGAAAAAATATTTTCAATGTAGTACCCGCAGTTAAAATTTAAGAAAATAAGTTACTGTTTTTTTTCTTAAAAATTAAATTAAAATCTTTTAATGAAATAATATCTTAGAAGCAAATAAATTGTCGTTTTTCTATGTATTCCAGACCATAGTTCAAATATCCCCAGTAGGGGAGGTATAGGGATTGCTCGCTATGAATCACGGTCATTATTTCACGTGATCAACATCAGTTTGAATCAACCGCGAATATTTTGTATGTTTTGAAATTATTTCCTTGTAAAAAATACCTACATAAAGCAGGTAAGACATTTCTTAAAGTTTCACTAAAGAACTATTCATTAGGCTAAAAAGTTACGAATTGTTTTGCCTTGATTGTCGAAATATTTAGCATCTAGATTGAGTGTAATGTCTTCACACAATTTTTACTTCACTTGAATTCCTCATTTTCATGTATTAATTTTTCAAAATGACATGTCGTTAGGTACTTTTCGACTTGTTAAGCATGTTGCTGAGGTAACAAACTTGTACAATGGTGGTAAATTACAGGTAACTTATTCAATCATCGCTAATTTTAACTCAATTTATGTAAGACTTTGGTCTGTAGTTGACTTAGACCTGTAACTAACAAAGTTAATAATTAATAAACCTCCCCTGCTTGCTCATAAACCTGACAAGTAATGTAATTAGCAACCACATGCAGTGCAGTACATCAAAGTTTCTATAATTTTTTCACAAATTCCAGATAATTTATGGCAGCACAATGCAATGTAGTACCATGTGGGCCTATTCCCAGGTATTTTCAGCACTGTAATCCTAAAGCATAGACTATGATATGAACACAGACAATGACATTTAATCTATACTTTCACTAGTACTTTAAGTATCAACATRTTTGTTTTTTGTTGCTCCTTGCTAATGTAGCTAGTAGTTGTGCCCCATTTCAACACAGTGTCGAAATGACAGTGTAATTTAGTATTGTTATAGTTAATGGTACTTTCCAGACAATCACCCGTGCTTTCTGGCCACAACCTATTGTTCTTACATCATGTGCTCTGATCACTTTTAATCCCTCCTGTTGTGACAATATATTACCTGGTCAAGTCAACGTTACTTTCCACAGTGAGTTATACTGACAGCAATTTTCATTACTATYATAATTATAATAAAAGATTACTAAAAGTAACAATGATCACAAAATTCCATAAAATTTGTTGTTTTTTTATTATCAATAACTGCAACGGACGAAACCTCTTTCCTTCCATAAATAATATAGCATAGCCATATTGCTGAATAAGTTAACAATCTATTGTTAAATAAGTTTTTTTACTGTTTATCTTTTAACTATCTTTTTGTGACGAAGSTTTCATAAAATTGAGTAATAATTTTCATCAGCTTTAATCTAATTTATTAAATAGCTTATCTATGTCTCTTGTTTGACTTTTACTAAAAGCAAACCAACTCAACAATGATTGATGATCAAAAGCTAATTTCTCCATGGTGTTATTTGGATATCTTGAGAGAAATTAATATTTGATCTTGTCAGTTTTGGTATGAGTAAATATATGAATTTCTCTTTAAATGAATGGYTAATATTTGCTTGTTAAAATATATGGGCAAATATTTAGCAATAATTCCAAATGTAATGAAAATAGATTATGCTTGGTTTCCTTTTAAATTGTTGGTTTGCTTTTGCAAAATAGCAAGAAACTGAACTAAAAAGCACCATAAAATGAAAATAAATGCTGCTCAAGAATCATTAGGAATCATGATGCATTTGTTTATAAACATTCTTATGTCATTATGACCATGTATAAAATATAATGCATTATTATCTTCAAATGATTCTTGGCTGATCTATTTTCCTGATAAAATGTCAAATATAACCTATGATCAATAAAACTTGAACTATGAATGAGATCTATCTACAGTTAGCTATGGTAAAATGGAAATGTCATCCTATAATTTACACATATAGCAAAATATCTTACAAAAATGAATTTTTGATTCTAGTTTTGAACCATATTTTGTGACTTTCAACTCCTAGAAAATGTATTTTCAGGTCCTGATGTCCTAGAAAAGTATATAATTTAGTATAAATTTTGSATTGTGAATGTTTATAGTATTCTGAAAATGTTTGATAATTTAGAATGTCTGAGAGTATTCAAACTGGAACTGTAAGAATGATTTTAAAGCACTTCTTGAGCAATATTTCTTGTTGAAGATTGTAACTCTATCTTCATCACAACAAAACTTCTGATAACTTCTTTGCATCTCACTATGGATAATGTTTTGTATCATGAAGTTTGATGACGATATAGAACAATTATTGGATGGCAAATTGTAATAAGAATGATATTATGGAAGTGTCTTCATTTTGCTRGTATTCATGAGTCTTTCCAGGAGGTCTTGAGTTGATACTCAGTGTATCAATACCATTATTGCGATATCTCTGTTCACCATGAACCTTGTTTGTAGAGTAGATATTGTTTCATACATACTGGGATTGGTAGTGTATTAATGTTTGATTTGTTTAGTTGATCTTTGCCTATTGATTTACGTATAGTACGCCTACAAAGGTCTTGTAAAGGTTGAGGTTCAGCTGTAAAAAACAATAGAAACTACATTAGATATCGATGCTACTTATCATAACTATTATTATTATTTTGGTTGAGTAATTTCACTGTGGGGGTTGCAATATTTTATCCATTGTAATAAGAACACTTGATCATTTTATATTGTAAAAAGAACACTTGATCATTTTATATTGTAAAAAGAACACTTGATCATTTTATATTGTAAAAAGAACACTTGATCAGTATCATTTCAGCATTGTTTGATCAGCACTAAGTGTTGCAATCACAGAATGTTCTCAGAGATAGAAATATGGGTCTTACATTGTACTAAAAGAGCAGAACTAATGATATATTGAACATTATTAGAGCAATATAAAATAAAATATACTAGATTTTCAATAATTTTCTTTGAATTTCCACCACTAGATTACTAGAATTTTTTATTCTAAAAAATTACTAATTTTCTAGATTATTTCAAATTCATATTATTAGGTACAAACTAGGTTACTCATTGTTAATATAAAATAAGGCATCTAGATATATAACCTTTTTACTCTACTTCCAAATTTGTAATTGATATAAGTTCTTTATTATAGTGAATACCTTTAGTTTATGATCTACACAATTCCATGATTCATAAACTTCCACTATTCAAATAACTTTTTACAGAGAGAATGCTATAAAGATACAACTCAAGATTTACAGTCAATAATAATTGACCAGCCTTTCAATTATTCTGATTGGAGAAAAAGACTTTTCTTTGTTTTGATATGAAATCAGGAAATAAAACCACACCCTATCCTTTGTTGTGTCAAATAGTAAAYTGAGTTCTGTCCAGGCCTAATCTTACATCTTAGCATTTCAAAGAACCCATYTCAGCTGCAGCAATGAGCATTTGAATTGATTGTGTGAACAGATGGATTCTGGTCTTTGTGAAAAGTGATGAGAATTTAGAACAAAGGATGTTATCATTTCTTCAATGGGTAATTCAAATATGTAAAATTTTAGTTTAGAGTAATTTTAAAAGAAAGCTAACACAAATGTTTTTTTTTTCTTGTTTAAAAGAGAGAGATCAAAATACAATATATCTGCAACAAGAATCAAAGAAATATATACTAGTATATATAATATAAAATTTGTCTGGATAAGAGAATAAACTTTTCCCATTTGAAAAGACAAACTCTTTTCAAAGAAAACAAAATTTACTAAATTATCCTATTCATCAATCATCCTATTCATTCATGTTTGTATGAGTTTTGATTGAATTACCTTTTTTTTTAGAAAAGACTAAACAAACCTAAAAAAAACTGTAAAAATCACTGACTCACTGAATATTTGTATTACTTTATTATTTACACCAGTTGGACTTTTATGGATAACTGAACATAAGCAAATAGTTCAATTAAAATGTATTTGATTGCAGTAATGTTTTGCTTGAATTAAAAATGTTGAATGTTTCATTGATAAATTGTAAAACACAGTGCATCAATTTCAAAGTGCTATAATTCATTAAGTCTGGAGTAGAGACATTAAAAATTGATTAGCATTAATTTATGCCGTGTCTATTGAGCGTAAAAATATTGAACTCAAAGTCCAAATCTATGAACCACAAGGTCTAAGTTAATCGTATTTCTCATTTAAGGACTGAATATTTTTTTTATACTGTTTTCATTTCATAGTATTAATGCTGTTTACTATTGCGAAGTATACATTGTTTTGGTTTAATATGATGTGAATCTATTAGCTTTTCTTTTGTTTGATAAGAGCCATCAATGCTTGGTGGGGCAAAGGCTCTAATTATATTGTCATACAATAAATCATCTAGTTTTTGATTTAATATCAAAAGTTTTGAACTTAAAGCACTTAATATGATAATAAAACATAGGTGAAAGGTAAGAATGACCATTTGCTTCTCTAATGTGAGCTGACTTTCTAAAAAAGATGAATTATATGGTGCAAAGGAAAGAGAACTAATTGATATTTCAAATATTGGTCCTTTCTGGAATAAAAGAGAGATTGACAAAGGAAAACTCTAGCACAGCTGAACAAATCTGTAATGAACTATTTAGAAACTGAAACAAGTAGCTAAAACATGTTAACAGATAAAAATTGTAATGCAATAATCTAAAAAGAATATAAAGATTTGTTTTTATATGTCAAGGAAATATATCTTCTGATTGATATTGATTCACTTAACTCAGGCTATTATAATAATTATCAAGATTAATGCATTTTTTTGCAAAAGTTTACAAAACTCTTTATTATGTAATAATTAGATCAGTCGTTTCTCAGATAAGTTATGGTATAGTTTAATGTTTTTTGAGTTTAAAAGAAAAATAAAACAGTATTTTGTTCATAGAGGAAAAACTGAAACGTTTTCCTAGCAATATTATTAAGACAGTTTATGAAAAGTAAATCAAAAACAATTATTTGAAACTGATAATAGAAAGTAAAACTATTAAAAGTGTTTTTTTTTAGGAATAATCAAGGCAGGTATAACATGACATAATTATGCAAATTATTAGCTTTTTTCAACAAAAAGTTCAAATGAAAATTAAAAATAAATACTCTTGCGAAGAAGTTCTTTTTTCTCTAAAATGGTTGAGATTTGAARCAAATCAGGTAAAAGGATAATATTRACAAACACATTTATAGGAAATGTAGTGAGATTTTTTTCTCATTGTTCAAGAATTCAAAACATGACAACAGATGCTGACAGAAAGGAAAACTCTTCCAGCAAAAATCTGTGTTTGAATAAAATAATTTGTAAATATAAATTCTAAATTTGAGCAAATGTACTGTAAAAACGAATTGTTATTTAATACACGAGTGTTATTTATAATTGTTTCTGAAACTTTTTCTTGCAATTGAGCTTGGATATCATAAAGGAAAACTAAAATATCTTCTCAAAACTTTTAAAACAAGATCTAAGTGTGAACTTGTTTCTAAAGAAATCTCTGTGGCGTATGTTAGTCCTGTACAAGGATCTCTGTTTTTAGTGAAATGCCCTGTACGTTCAACAGGTGGCTGCTGGCACAAGCCATTACCACACCACAAAAGGTACCATCCATTCGCCATTGTTCTTTTGTTTTACATCCAAAAGACTCCACGATCGAGTACAATTTTATACTAACAAACCCGTGAGAACATAAACTATTGTCATTTATAAAAATCGTAAYGTGCACTGAAACATCTCGATGTTTTGCCGGKTTTTTTTTCTGGTCGAAAATCGATTTTGATTGATGCAGTTGATGAATAATTAATTCCATTCATTGGAGGCACAAAGGTCTTGTATCGTGGAAACACGAGATGAAAGAAAGATATGAAACAAAGAAACAAAATCCACAATCATCAATTTCTTGAAATTTACCTGATAATTTTCTCAAAATCATATCYTATGATTTTAGCAACTTTAAAATTCTGAGGTTATTTGACATGTTTCAAAATAACATTTCTGATTGATTGCTTAGAGTGACCTCATCTTCTATGTATCGTGTGGGTTCGAAGCTTGATCGAAGGTTCGATTTCCGTAAAAATAACCTCCACTGACCCAAAAGTATGCAGTAAATTGATGTTTGTTAGAAATCTAGGCGGTGTACAATGCTTTTCCGTTGAAAGAATACCCAGTCGGTGAGAATATTACGTGTCGGATGTCAAGGGGAAATGACGGGAGTAAAGGAAAACCGAAACTAAAATTGCTATGTGAGATCACTTGAATAAGAAGCGAGCGACTATATTGAGATAATATTGAAATCTTCATCTTTGATTCTCAATCTCTAGGTTTTAATATAGATGTCAAACTGGATGAATGAGCACATAGGGTAAACAAAGACCTCCCTAGTCTACTGTGTACAGCATTTCCCGTAGAAATCAATAAGTACTTACGATCAAGTCCTCCAATGTAGTGCATAGCGATCTCACAATGTCCCCATACTGCAGACACTACGGGATATACAGTATGTCCTTTAAGTCCTCTAAATGCAACCCCTAAGTAACGGCCATCTATGGTCTCAAAGGCCAATGTGCCTTCATCCATATCCAATATGACACGAAATCTATCAGGAACGATAAAGTTATGTTCAACATCGTGATGTGATGGGTATTTAACCGTAGGATTATTCTTCTCATCGTGATATAGTTTGTTCCTTACAATATCCCATCCCCAGCCATCCTCAGTTTTACCGATCAATGAATGGTAACCTGTACAATGTAGTGGGGCTTTTGCTGTTGCTACTCCTACAACGGCGTGCGTACCGCGCTGCCGAGTTGACCAATGTATTTCCCAAACATGAAACCCTCGATTAAATCCTTTTCTTCCTCGAATACAGTCAGTACTTTGAGCAACTGGATGTCTATGAAATGTGAACGGATCGTCGTCTTTAACGAACACGTTGACGGATCGATCCGACGGGTTCCATGAGTATTCCTTCTGCCGTTCTTTAGTTGCTGGCGGTCGATCTAACACCGTATCGAGCTTCTCCGGTCGCGCCAAATCGCGCGCCCTATCTTCTTCGTCTTTTAAGAAGTTGAGCGATTTGAGTGAAACTCCAGCTCTATTGTCGTTATGATCACTTCTTTTCACAGATGATATTCTTGATCCCATGTTCGCGAAGGGATGGCGTACGAAGAGGTTCGACGTGCTAAAACTTGAAGAATCCAACTTGAATGAATGAATGCCCGATCCGCAGACCTCCTCGCTCTACTCTAGTTCTTTCAGAATGATTATGTGTTCTAGAACAAAGAATATTGAAACATTAGTGTGTGCTACGAACGAGTCACAATCCAGCTGATCAAAGTGATGTTCATAGAATGCTGTCAGACCGCTAGATTCAAAAYAAAAGCACACCACATAAGATCGCGATTCGATCCTTCACCACTGACTTACAATTCACTAGCTTTGTACCCTGACTGACGGCGAGTCAACTTCTCCGCTTCTTTCTCCGCGATTTCGTGTTTATGTCAATGAATGGTCTTTGTCAGGCTTTGTTGTCATCAGAAAATTTTTGATCTTTGTATTTATATCTCGTGCGTGGAAGCTCTATAAGCACATTGCGCATGCGCAAAGGCCTTTGTTTGTTCAAGCGTGGATACAACACGTCTGTGCTCAACAACGTGTGACACACGTTCCAACGATTACTTCCGGTTGCGTGAAAACTTTAGCGATTTACGGATTAGCCGAGTCAGGGATGAAAATGCAGTTGAACGTAAACTGAAAGTTGTCCGATTACTCACGATATTAGTAGAAAGTCTAAGTAAGATGGCTGCGAGCGTCGCAATGGTGACCTAATTCACCGATCTCACTGTTGACTTTTACGCTAGGTGAACGGAGTGCGCGCGAAATTCCTTTGGGCTATTATCAGTCGTCAGTGTCATAGAATTAATGTTTAATAAGAAACGAAAAGCATTGAAACCAAGCACAACAGGTGATAGTACCGTGTTCATCCAACCGTACGAACTATCACCATATGGTACATGCATGGACAACACTTCTGGCTTCGTTACCCCCTAGAGAACCAGCCTCCTTGATTAGAATTCTCATTCTAAATCTTGTATATTTCAATCTACGAGTATAGAAGCATTAATCAGGCCTTCTAGAACGGTTGATCAATCCATATGATTCCTGCATGGGCAACACTAATGGTTCTTTTGCCTCCCCGAAAACTAACTTGCGCGATTGTTACTATACACTAATCATTATCTTTCTAAACTCTAATATATTTCAATCTCGAAGTATGGAAGTCTTGATCAAACATTCTAGAACTGTTGATCAGCATATGGTTAAAGCATGGTACCCCATGTGACAGACTTACTAACCACCTTTTATCAATAATCATCTGTAATTATGTTTATGATTAATAGTGATGAATACAAAAAGTCTTATCATGGATAATCGATTAGTTCGAGTGTTGGATTGATTTGGACAARGTAGAGTTTAGTGCTCGATGTAGAATAACTTCATATGTTTAGACATTTGTTTGGTGTTTTGGTGAAAACCGCGTCGTTTTTAACGCTTCACTAACTGACTTAGCTAAGTTTAGTTAACAACCGAAATGGCCTCTGCTGGTAGGCTAAAATACTGTCCCATTACTCATCATAGCAATGTCTTCATTTAGGAATTCAATCGATTCACATGTCAAAATAATTCCAAAATTCTTTACTGTGATTTTCATTAGTACACCGGTACATCACGCTGACAGACTAAAATAGCGTGTTCCATGTTCCACTGATCATGTGTTCTTTTTTAGAACTGATCATGTGTTCTTTTTTAGAATACAAATCCCGGTAGCTTAACAGACATCGCATGAACAAGCACGTTTACCACGTTGCGTTTATTCATAGAGAATCACATWAAAAAAACCCTCTTTTTCTCTTTTTGCAAAATTTCTTTCACTTGGTCTGAATCTATGTAAGGCTTCGGGGAGTGTTCGGAAGTAATCGACACATGCAGGAATTCTCGCAGACCTTCCGGAAAACTCCCGAAACAAAGTCACGCACTATACTGCGTGACATCATGTCGTCACCGGAAGTATGTCTGCTTTATACCCTGACCTTAGTTNAACTGAAACAGCTATATTTGATAGCGACTGCATAATGACTGTGAAGTGTTTCTGTTTCAAAGTCATTAAACTTGCAAATCAATCGGAAAAGTTTTTGAACGGTATAACTGTAACTAAAAGAAACTTATGTTATTTTGCTTATTGAAAGCGAACGAGGAGGTCAAGACTGAAATGATGGTGATGCAAATTGTGATGATGATACAAACACAACCTAAAACACTGATTCTGATACATTACGGATTCTATAAACAGCACATAAAATGTCACTAAAGCTTTTAGAATGGAAAGTATTTCAAGGATTCACTATCTTTATTTTTAAATCGAATATTAATCTTAAAAGTCCATCCAGACATATGATCATTTGTTGATGCTTGTAATGCTAGTGATTGACAGCCGCTCAGCTCGAATGCCATGTCATTCGGTCCTGTCATTCAATGTAAAATGTTTTCCACAAAATATCAGTTTTATTTACATTTTCTTATTATCCTGGCATTAGAGATCGACTTGATAGTATTTTAGATTCCCCGTCGCATAGATTTAAAATTGTTCTGTGTTTTTTCTTGTTAAGTCTCATTAGTTACTCGTTGCAGAGAGTTTTTTTTGAAAGAAGCTTACAGGGTCTTACTCTCGTCCTTGTCAGAACAGGAAGATTTCTGTTTGTATAAAGCTAAAGCGAATGGAAACTAAAAGGTTCCTAAAAGATTCAGGTGTTAGAAATGATAACACTCACCCCTACTTTATAAACAATAGATACATAAAATACTGCTGAACATAAAAACAATCCTAACTGAAGCTATCAATTAAATAATATTGYCAGTTACCTTWATGTTACTCCTGTATAGCCTTCAATCTGTACTTTRAGATGATTCGACTAGATTTGCTTATTTCGAACCAAGAGTGCTAAATATTTCTAAGGAATGATTCAGACAACGTGACAACGTGACTTCAAAAAGAATACGTGACAATTACGTCATCAGTATTTAAATTCGTGACGATATTATGTATCATAGCATATGAATATTTCATGATTGTGTATTTTGGAGGTTTTTTTTTTGCTTAGTCACCAACGATGATCAGATTTAGTATAAAAACTACTTACACGTGATTGAACTTGTATTTATAAAGTATGATTTCAAATTTTAATTCTTGTTTTAYTTGCGTTAAACTGGCGTGTGTTGAGGCGCGTTTTTTATCGGAGCTGTGTCKTTTTTTCTGATAAAATTATGAATAATACACTGTAAAACAATAGASAGCGGTAATGGTCCTTCGTCGGGCTAACATCCGAGATGTCTGAGTAAGATTTTCTTGACTCTTTTTTCTTTTCATCACGACTATTTTTTATAATTCAATACATCAATACGAACTATCTATTTTTGTATCAATCTTACACGATTATTGACACTACACTCAATGTCAAACTACAAAAACAACGGATTTCTGGAGCTCATCAATGCTTGGAGAACCGGAATCGAGGGTCATATCGAGGAGAATCAACGCTTTGTTTTGCGTTTGTTTTGCTGAAAGCCGTGACCGGAAATGGGGGAGTGCACAGATACCGGATGTGACGTAGTATTTCTGATGTACAAGTATTGTTACGTACAAGAAATGTTTCAATGAAAACCACGTTTTGTTACATCCCCCGCTATTATCCGTTATCTACTATAATACTCATTAATGGATATTAATGTAGGATAATGTCAAAACAGAGATTGAATCAATATGAAGTCTATGATTGTATCAAGTGATGACGGTAATGATAAATATGATGACCATCATGATGATGTTGATGATAATGTAAGATTTATGTCAATATAGAGGTAATATTTAAATATTTCAAAATATTCTCTGTGACGCAAACCAAGTAATTAATATAAATCAATTACGATTAATAATAAACTTCAAATCATAATAACATTGATGTAGGATTTATCATGATAATTCAGTGGAAATATTCAGATTTACTATAATGCAAAGCATTTCATCGTTAGCCAGACCCCTACCGTTTGAAAAAGACTATCAGCATTATATAGAACAAGGACTTATAGAATTAGTGAAGACGAGCTGAATCACATGCAATTAGTAAAATAAAAAGATTTAGTATGATACCTTTATCGCTGTTTCTTTCTTTATAAATCCCGATGTAAAAGCAGTCCAAGCTCGTTCATTGTATGTGTGTTTACAACTATAATTGACACATATATAAACACATTTTTCGGCAAAATAAAGGAAGTAGATTTTTTCATTGCTACAAGTATATCATGTAGTTTTTAAAGAATGCAACACCCGGCGGGGGGTCCATCAAAGTATTTCAGATTTATAATTTTCCCTGCTCTGTAACAGGTGAATTCGCGTACTTCCGGTATTCATTTCGAAACAAGTCTCGAAATATGTTTTGGTTAACGTTTCTAAATAAGGGTTTTGGCTATGTCACGTGACAGTTCTGTTTTAAGCATGGAGAAGAGAAGGGGTTTTTTGACTGGTTTGATTCTCGTCATTTCTTCCATTTCTCCTTTCTTTTTTCCTCCATTTCCCAGAAATAAGTCTCATTTGTATTATTTTTTTTTTCAATTTTTCTCTGTCCATTTAATCAGAAAAAAACGAATTTCAGCAAACAACGTTTCAGTCCACCAACTTTTTCATTTCATTGGACTGCTCTTTTTTTAAGATCTTCCATCTCTGATCTCTAATTCAAAGGTCGTAGTCATTTATGAAATAAAAATAAAAATGTTAACACATCTCGAAGTAATTTTAAGAAAAGCCCACTTTAATCAATTTTAATCCAACGTAAACTTGTGGAATCAGTGTTATTTCCTTGTGATAGATTACGTTAAAGAATTTCCGTACTCTGCGATCACGATAAAGCAGGCAATACTGTAAATAGACCCATTTTTCCTTAAATGTCTCGTTGCTAGTAAATCCTACATTRCTTTCCGTGGTATTTCATTTCCTACGCACAACCACGCACCATYYAATGTACTTACAGGCACTTTGTTTGAAACGTAACCTTAACTGTRCATCACTTAAAACCTGGAACTTTGTGACGTCWTACTACSTCACGTAAGTATTCCACAATTGTAAAAAAATTTTAGGCAACTTTTATCGCCTATCATGCAATCTCATATCAACATATTGACTTCGACACGTGCGAGATTTGACGTTTCGAATTACTTTGTAGTTTCATCGATGTCAGGTCATGTAATCTAGATCAACATATTGACTTCGATACAAGCGACATTTGACGTTTAAACTCATTTAGGTTGAATCTGCTATTATCTTATGTAACGCAATCTGTCTAAATATCGTGACAACAATCCGTGTCAGCCAAGTATCACGATGAGCCTGAACTGGAGTTGTTTTGCCTCACGTCTTGCATTCAAGGGTCATACACAATATTGTACTCGAGCCATTCGTCTCAAACATGATAAAAACAAAACAAAAAAAAAACAAAATAATTACTGAGTAAGAGATCAAAGGGTTGCAGAGTGACGCGATGCACGCATCGAACAATGTTTTGTTTTAGTTTGAACTGTTTGTCAACTAAATCGAAACAAATGGAACTGAATAAATGAAAGAAAATGAATGGAAAGAAATGAAAAAATGAATCTGTTAAGACAGAAAGTACTGGAATTGCCATTGATGCTCGAAGCTTCTCGATATAAGTAAAAAAAAATATTATATTTACCGCGACTACCATTTGCCGAAATGAATGTGAACGAATAAATGAAAGAAAATTGTGATTGAATTGAGTAGCTACTTGTTTATTTGACTGATGATGATATTGAAAAATATTGAGAATTACGATGTTACTTTTGTTTCTTAGGAAACAAGATTCTTAAATACAAGCTTGTCGTGATCACAACTAAAAGCGAACGATCACGCGATGAAACTTGTAATGTAAACAACTTTTAAAATATGATAAAACAACACGTTAATTCCATTAAAAACGCCTTTTTAAAGTAGTGATTTGTAAAGTAGATAGAGTAATTGCTTAGGAGTAAAAGGGAGGCTGGAAGAATAGAAAAAAAATTGAAAGAAGACTAAGAGATACGTGACCGTTTTATCGCTCGCCGCTGACCTGCTGATTCAACCGGAAGTTTCAATGAAATCATGCTTCGTTTTTTAACAGAATATTTTTTTTTTTACCCTCAAATAACTGTTCCTACGTTTTTCATGCTAAAAATATCAAACAGGTTCTCATGAACGTGATTTACTGCATGATAATCTAGTGCGCGAAAAACCGCGAAAATTACTACGCAGCGCGCTGCAAAATGAGAAATCCATCGAGTCTTGCGGTCAACATACAGAATTCGTGTTAATTCACGTCACTGAATATTGGAAAGATATTGATAGTGATGTTTTAAATATTGCTAGCAGTTCATTAAAATAAGTTTATTATGTATTAACTATCGAATATTATAATTCATATTCCCTTCTGCAAATTATTCACATTGTGTATGACAATGAACTTGGTAAATAATTTTTTTTATATACAATATCAGTTATAGTTAATAAGCTTACCTGAAATTACTCTTGAGTTAACAACAGTATTCTCCTGTCTGTACAGGGTCAGTGTTAATGCTTCAATTCGATTAAACGGTCTTGTTTGATCGTAACGGTGATCGTGGTTTTATATTTTAGTCAGGYTCTTACGTATTTTTGATGTCATGGAGCCTGYAGTGCGTTTATTCATGAYCGGAAAYACGTCACTTTGTTCTCAGAGACGGGCCGCTGGGAAGATTGTACAAGCTGTCTGTCTGAAAGCTGTAATCAGATAAAGTAATGATTGCTTTTGAACCAAATAATGAATTAATCTTGTAAATAAAATTTTAAATGCAATAAAGGGTGGAAATCTATAAAAATAAACAATTTTACCCAGCATACCCTCCCATACATCATTTAGCTCATGAATATTTATAAGAGAATTAGCACTTATCCCGTTCCCATAGTGATAACAGAATACGAATTTTTAATCTGCCACCATTTTGAACACATTATAGTTAGTTGTATTCTCAATGTTTTCTCAATTAGAACATTTTGTTGTGTTCTAGAAGCCTTGATCACGTACTGGAGTTGTTCTATAGCATTCTAATTTTGCCATGAAGGGCTGTCTGAGAGCAAAAGATGGAACAGCATTACATCAGCTGAGAAATACAGTTACGACTGTTGGCAGGGAAGGATGCGACCTTATTCTTCCGGTAAGTTGTGTATTTTCGGAATATAAAAACTGCATTCTTTATAGAAAGCACTAGCATATCCTGATGTTTTAAAAATATYCAGACGAAACGAAAAGATTGTTTATATCGCACGATTCTTGTTGTCGTTTACTGCACACACGTCCACGATAATATTTCTTGTTTGCTTCTTTTTGTTGGGCAATTATAACTAGCAGTTATAATGAACATTACTGTAGTATTTCTAAAATCTTAAGAATTAGATCCCAATGCGTTATTACATCATTTTATCATGAAATCTTCGTTTTTATTGATAATTTCGTACATCACGTCCATATTGCACATGTCACTCAAAAGTCTGTCTGACTTGAAGTTAATATTACAGCTTAACGTCAATTTAAGTAATCGAGAATGTTTTTCATTCTATTTAGAAGTATCTAGACTTGTTTTGGTTGTTAAATATCGTTGTTTGGTTCGGTAGTATAGATTTATTCATGCCTGTCTGTGGTTATAATGTAGTTCTTTGTTGTATAGGGAATTCCTTTGTTGTCCAATGAGTTTAGTAAACAATCAAATCTAATCTAATGGTTGGAAAGTGTGAAAGTACTTCTTTTATTTCTTTAATTTATTCAGACAATGCATAAGAAATTAATGTTAACTACAAAATTGTTTCACTATAATAGCTTAAGAGATAATATCCTTTCAAAGACTGCCATGCTGTACATAAGAATTATATCAAGAAATTTTCTTCCAAATCTTGTCCAGTTTATCACAATTTATACAACTTTTCAGTAAAATCAGACGTTTTGATTGGTTGGCTTTCGTGTGTTATCAAAGTATAGATACACGGATTACGTCAAAACTAATTGTTTGTTGTATAAAACAGATAGATATAATTTTTCCATGCGTGTGTACTCTAATAGATACACAGATGACGTCAAAATGTAGTGAGAACAAAAGTCATGGACTCGACTGCGTCTCGTGCGTACTTTTTTGTTCTCACTACATTTTGATGTCATCTGTGTATCTATTAGAGTACACACGCACGGAAAAATGATATCTATCTGTTAAGTAAATGCAACTGCAAACAATGCGCTCTGCAAGAGAGTATAAACTGGTTGCTGCGCAATCGATTTGTAACCATTGAATAAAATCATTTCCTTTGAATTTATTCTGTCGCTGTTTGTCTTGCAGTATTCTACAATAGAGAAGCAACATGCTGTTATTGATTTTGATGTCTCACAAGGATGCTTCATTTTACAAGATTTGAACTCAGCTAATGGAACATATGTCAACGAGCATCGAGTACAGAACTCTGCCGTCAGACTGGCACCTGGTGATATTGTACGATTTGGATTTGGTATCCTACCTGACATAAATCAATGAAATATAGTGTGATATCTAATTTGCAATCTAATTTATGTTGAAATGACTGAAGACAAAGGGAAATGTAATTTAAATGTTAGCTTTGTTTGATGGATATATGCCTTGGATAATATTGATATATATCATGATGTTATCTTAGATTTGTTTTCATTTGACCGAACAATGATAAATGGCTGATTAATTAGAATTCATTGGTAAAAGCAAGAGAAAACAACATTTTAAGAGTGTATACCAACCAATGTTCTCAATAATCTTTATTGGTCAAGTGAAAGCATCTCTAATATGAATAGATGTAATCATGTCCTTAACCATGTGACCAGGTAATCCAGGATATGAGTTTGGTATTGATCAAATCCCTAATCTAATATACCAATCTACCAATCCACCAAGACCACAGTGGTTAAACGGACTATCGACATCACAGTATTCATCGTCGGTATCTCTACCATACATCACAACTGGACTGTCATCTATTGTAGACTCATTACCAGGTTATCAGGGATCCCAGTCTCTCACTTCTCTACCAGGAACAGGTGGACTGGTAACAAATGATTCAAGAGCTGCTGATTCATGGGTAATTATCATGCAATGATTTCAAAAAAAGCAATTCGTAGTGATTATTCATTGTTTATCATTTCTGTTAGGGTGGTGGGGTTATGCCACACCCTCCCTTGAGGTCACGACCAGCGAGTGCAGGGACTGTTAAGCCAAGACCAGTATCTGTAGGAAGAGAAAGGCCACAAGTATTGAATAGAGGTTTGTTGGATTTTCTTATACATTTAATCCTTCCTTTTTTCGAACAAAAATCATTTATTATTTATTTTTTCATTCAGTCTTTTATTCATTTATTCATCCATCCATCCATTTGTTCATTTAATCCCATTCATTTAGTTTTATCCATTTTTTTTTTTGTCTTCCATGTTAGGTGGATGGGTAGAGAATGGAGTTTCATCTCCAAATACATCAAGTCAACACAGTGTGGAAGAACTGGTAGGAACAGCTTGTGCCATTCATATACTAGTCTGTTATAACTATTAAGCGGCATTTACACAAGCAATTGTTCCTTGTCAAGGGAAACTTGTCAAGGAAAAATTGCTTGTGTAAATGGGGTAAAATGGGCAATTTTTCCTTGTCAAGGAAAAGCCAACACGTTCACTTTTCCTTAACAAGGAAAAATTGTCAAGGATGAAATTTGCTCGTATAAATTTGGACAACAAGGAAAATGTGGCAAGGAAAACTTGTTGACCATTCATCCGGGCAATTTTTCCTTGTCAAGGAAAACTTGTTCTTCGTTTACACTAACAAAGAAACATTGTCAAGGATCAAGAATTGTCGAGGAAAACTTGTTGACCATTTACATTGGCAATTTTTCCTTGTCAAGAAACTTGTCAACGAAAAATTGCTTAATGTGTAAACAGCGCTTTGTATTGAAATGACTTCATCTTTGACTCTAGGAGGAACGCTTGTTACGCATGGGAGATGAGCTTAGTAGACTAGCATCTTATGAGGCTGAGTGTCATCGTAAAGATGGAATCATTAACACTCTAAGAGATGAAGTAGCTGACCTCAAGTCTAAACTGAATGGTCAGAACTTTGGATTCAGGTGAGGAGATATTAGGCCAAAATGACTCACAAATTCATAGACAGAATCTCAGTGTATGGTTCATGAAGTAGTGTTTTAGGGGATACCTGTGTAAAGTATTTTTCTCTTCCCATTCCCTCTCATCATATCAATAAAGGAATCCCAAGAATCACTAATCTGGAAAAACTGACTTTCAAGGCTTAGAACAAGTGAACATTTACTCCTTATTTTCTTTGCTACATTCAGTTATTAATTTTAAAAAGTCAATTTCAAAGGAAGATGATGTAGATATTCATATTGTAT